CTCAGTTTGTATTCCCTTAAAAGACCCCTCTTGGCCGACTTTGGGGCTTTTAATTAAGTCCTCTCATTTTGGCAAGTAGGTGATGCACCTACTTGTCACCTACCAGTCTGCGCTGTCTCGTGAAAAAGCAAATATCTCTCAACTCCAATATCGTATCGACGAACGGTTTAATGATTTGGAAACTAGACTCGTAGATCTTCAATTTGATATGTAGATCATCCCCTAATTCCAAGTATATTGGCAGAAAAGCTCAGTTACATTTGACCTAATTTTCAGCACATTTATGAATGGAACTTGTGATGACCTTTTTCCAACTTTTGTTCCACAACTCGCTTGACTTCAAAACATAACACACGACTATCATACGACTACAATAACTCATAACTTAACCTCCTCATCATGTTAATCACCCTAGTCTCTCCCCAAAAGAATATGTTATTACATTCCAAACTTGTCGATTTTCGACGAAACTTATTTTCTTCAATTCGTTTAGCGACTAAGCTTTCCAACCCTTTTGGTACTTGTTATTCATGATCTTAAATATTTGTAACCTCCAAGGTAACATGATTAACTTACTTTATTTGCTTCCAAATATAATCTCATTTTCGAGCTTACATCAATGACTTACGACGTACTCTCACGTATGAAAACTTGGGGTGTAACAGATTAATCACAAAGCATTTTGTAGAGATGAAGGCTACCATGTTACCTCTATCACACAATTGTGATACACTTATTAGACTTTACTTCAGTCCATCTATCAAGTAGACATTCTCAACAGAGTGTGAATCAGTCTTACCTACCTTTCCAACCCCAATGATCTCACCTTTCCGTTTTCAAAGGAGACATTACCTCCTTTAAGGTCCTCAAGTGAAAGGAACTGGTTCTTGCTTCCTGTTATATGCTTAGAACAGCCACTATCCATGTACCATATTTGGTTGCTTCCCATCACTTGGACCTGGAAAAAAAAATCAGGGGTTAGTCTTAGGAACCCAAACCTTTCTATTTTTCCCTAGAATAAAATTTCTGTTCTTTTGACTTGCCTTCTCTTTTGCAATGCATTCACTCTTATAGTGACCAGTGTTACTACAGTGAGTGAAAATCTTGTTCTCACGGAGTGTGAGTTACTTGCTTTTGGGATCCCACTTAGGTGCAGAGTTCCTAAAGCCAAGTCCTCTTCTGTTACTACTATGATGATTTTGTAGCCATGAAAGTGCATCGGAGGACCTGTTCTATTTACAAGTTCTGTCTAGCTTATGTTTAACCTTGTCAGATCCTCTTTTAAGACTGTTACCAATTCATCCCTTTTATATAACTAATCTTTTGGTTTTTCTACATTTTCTTCTAAAGTGAGTTGTGTGCGACCAGCTATCTTTTTACCTGTTCCTAATTTCAATTTTAGATTTTCAGATCTAAGTTCTAGGATAGTTGTATCAAGTACATGAACCTGGTTCTTCAACACAGTATTTTCACTTTCAGTTTTACAAGCCCTAAGTTCTAGATTTTTGCACTTAGCTTTTAAAATTACAAATTCTTTTGAAAGCTATTCCTTTTCATCATTCACATCCTCTGATTCATCAATTAGTTCTAGTAATAACTCAGATAATCTTTCTTTAGACAAAAATTTAGTCTTGTCTTTAAGATGAAGGACACTTACCTCAGTTTCTCCAATAGCCATCAATGCTCGTTCATCATCATCATCATCTGAGCTTTCATCTGAGCTTTCTCCCCAAGCAGCAACAGTAACCTTGGTTGATCCTTTGTTGTTGCCTTTCTTGGGATGAACTTGTTCCTTCTTCCTGTTCCTTCGTTCAGCTCTTTCCTTCTTCCATTCAATTTCTCACAAAGGATAGTTTTTGATCATGTGATCAGTCTTTCCATACTTGTAGCAGCCATCATTGGTTTGCTTCTCCGGAGCTCGTGCCTTGCTGTAGCTTCTACTTCTTGAAGAACCCATTACTCTCCTTAGGTACTTCTTAAAGTCTTTGGTGATCATTGTCATTTCATCATCTTCCAGATCAGAACCTTCAGTGATTCTGAGTGACAAGCTCATTTCCTTCTTAGGTACATCCATTTTAGTGGTTTGTCTCCTAAGTTCATAGGCAGTGAGATTGTCAATCAATTTATCTAGTGGGAGAGTGGCAATATTCTTTGATTCTTGAATGGCAGTCATCTTGCTTTCCCAAGTAATTGGCAAGACCCTAGTGAGTATCTTCTCAACTCTTTCTTCTTCAGGGATAATCCTTGCAAGAGATTTTAGTTCATTTGCCAATGTAGTGAACCTTGTGTACATCTCCTGAATGGTTTCTCCATCCTTTGTAGCAAAGTTCTCATACTGAAAGTACAGTAGAGTTCCATTAGATATCTTCACCTAAGTTGTTCCTTCATGGGCCACTTGCATTGTGTCCCAAATTTGCTTAGCAGTGGAACATCCTTGGATTCTGCTGCACTCATCTGGACCAAGTCGACAAACAAGTCACTACTTGGCTTTGGCATTCTTTTCCCACTTATTCATATCCTCATCATTGCAATTAGCTCTTGTCTTTGGCACATCTACTCCTTCAGCATTTTTCTTCAAAGTAGTCAGTGGACCATCAATGACAATGTCCCTAGCTCATAGTCCTCTTCCTGTATGTGATCTCTCATTCTTGACTTCCACCAAGAGTAGTACTGGCCATTAAAGAGTGGTGGCCTAGCAGTCGATTGCCCTTCCCAGTTTCCAGGTGGTGCACTCATCTTGATCTTCTCCTAAGGTGTTAGCCTCTTTAAGGATAACCTGCTCTGACGTCAATTGACGTTTTATACCTTAATACCACACAAGGGGGGGATGATTTGTGTGGTGTCTAATTTTTTGTGTGCATAGATTATAGAAGGACCTGGTTCTTGAGGACATAGTTCAAAAGAATTCTCAAGAAACAGAGGCGGAGGCAGAGGGCTCAATAACTAGATCTGCCAAAAAGAGCAATAAGGCTCAAATAGTGAAGAAAATGGCTAAGGATGCTTAGATTAAAAGGCTGGTGAAATAATTGGATAAAGTAGAGGCTGAGATAGAGTCTCTCATGTGTGAGCTTGCAAAGTAGAAGGATAAGAATCATGGTATTCTTCAAGATATGTTGATGTTGCTTCAAGCCAAGAACCAAGAACCTGGTCCTTCCCGGTCCTAAATCCTCCTAGCCCAGGTGTAACCAGTAACCCAAGTGGGATTTCTCTGTTTTTTTGCTCATGGTTCAATGTTTTTATTTCTTCTTATGCCTAGTGGTAGGATCTTATCAATCAATATAATTCACTGCTTTTGCTCTAATTGTTTATTGATATTTCTTAGATGGATAATATCCTTAGATTGTAAAAGAGATTTGAATCCATAAGTAGCCCCAGCAGCCATGAGTGCTATCTGTCGAAATCTGGTTACTTAACTTAATTATGTTACTTTTCGATGATGCCAAAAGGGGGAAGATAAGATGTGCTTTTGCTTTGGATTGCGATATTTATAACCTAATGAACCTGGTCCTTGATGATTTCTGACTTCAAATGGAAAGTGTTCTGATATTGTGTTTGATGTTGAGCTAAGTTGAAACATGTTCTACGCTTCTGAAAAACACAGAGTTTGTCATCATCAAAAAGGAAAAATTTATTGACCTGAGGGGTTTTGGTTTTGATGATTGACAAGGAACATATGCATGAACTAGGTCCATGGACAATGTACACAGGTCTCAGTCAGATTCAAGCATAAGACATGCACGTGAAGGGATAAGTATAAATAGTTATATCTGATATTCTCTGAACGAAAAGGTTGCATAATTGATAAGGAGTAGGACTCCTTACTTGAAGAGAACTCTATCCTAGATAAGGGAGGAGTTAGAAGTTGAAGATAACCAGAACTCTTCCACCAAAGAAGAGTATAGCATTAGAACTCTAGTTATTTCTTATTCTACTAACTCTCTCTCTCTCTCTCTGAGAAAGAGTTAGTGTGTGTGTGTGTCTATATATATATATATATATATATATATATATATATATATATATATATATATATATATATATATATATATATATATATATATATCAGTTCGTTCTCTTTTATAGGTGATGGACAAACGTTGAACTTAAGCAAGAATTGAGAGCAAAATAGCAAGGCATTTTGCAAGCAATTCCTGCGTGATTCAAGTGTGCGAATCTGAAGCTACATGAACCAGATAGAAGAATCAGTTCCAAGTGTCTGTCTTTTATTCCAGTTTCATTGCAGTAGGGTTTTTGAATTATACCTTTCATCTTTCTCTAGAAGCTTTTGTACTAGGTACTCTCTGAGTGTATTGTTCAAGTTAGAGTTAACTCTAAATTATCGCAACATCCTGAGGCTGGTTGCCACAAAGGGTTAGAGGTAATCCTTAGGTTTACAAGAGTTTTATAAACGTTGTTTTTAACTCAGTGATTTAGTGAAGTGTTGCGAAAAATCTTACAGGGTAGTAGGGCGTGATTTTTTCACCTTTTGAGCCAGATGTTTTTCCACGTAAAAATACTTATGTTCTTTACTTTCTGCATTTATTATTCTGCAACTTTAGTATAAGGAACACATAGAAGAACCAGGTCCTTCTATAATTTGTGCACGCGAAAAATTGGACAGCACAAATCATCCCTCTTGTGTGGTATTGAAGTATAAAACATGCCTCACACTAGTAAACATGCGTTGATACTGACATCCTACAAATGCACTCAATTGTATGAGTGGTTAGTTCCTCTTCTAGAAATGCCTAATGCTAAAAGAGGGAGCAATCTTACGGGACGGTCGATATTAATCAGGTCTCGAGAGAACTTAATCTTTAGCCTCATCAGATTTACTTACGAGTTCCAAAACTTAATCAACAACATACCCAGTATGATTCACAAGAGCGGTCTGGGGAAAGTTAGGTGTACACGGACCTTCATTGGGAGCCTTTATTGAGAGCTGAGATTATTGAGGGTGTTTATGAACAGAACTCATTAATGACCAAGGTCCAAAAATATGTCCAATAAGAACAGAACTCATTAATGACCAAGAGGTCCAAAAATATGTCCGACAAAATGGTATTGCTCATGAGGGAGAACAGTTTAGTTTCGAGAATCAGCATATAATAAAGTACATAAGAAGTAACTGAAGTATCTCCATCATTACTTCCCTCAAGGATAAACAATGGCATTATTCAAAACTGAAGCCACTTCTACCACCACTTCCGGAATGTTAAACTGAAGTAGGCATATGACCTACTTCCGGAATGTTAAAAAGTTCAGGAAAGGCACGAGTATGCCAAAGCTTTTTCCTCAGTGAGTTCCTTAGCCGTCAAGTCCAACTTCTTTCTTGAGAACTCATCAATTGAGAGACCTAGATGAAAAAGCACACAAGATACTTAGACCTCTTGGACATCCAACAGATGCATGCATATTAGTACCACTGCAAGATTGTAACCTTATTACATGGAACAACAAAAAGATTCCTTAGACCCCCATGAGGAGAAAGAACCTTTAAAGGAACTATAATTTATCAGACATAAGTAAAGAAATGGACAATCAAGTAGAAAAGGAACAATTCAGCTCTTCATTCAGAAGAATAAGTGAAGTCAATTATCAGATTAAATTGACTCTTAGACCACCTATCAGACGTAGCAAGTGAAGAACCTTTAATAGAGGATAATGAGAAATTTCAGAAAAAACATCAAGTACATCTCCAAGCAGCTCTCCGTTTTGTCAGCATAAGGTGGCTTTATCTTATCATAGTCAAAGAAAGCCCACCTCATTCTCAGGACATGACCGATCAGATACCAAAAAACTTTCCCAAATGATGCCTCTCCACAAGTAGTGCACTTATAAGTGCTACGTACGATAATTTACAATCAATTTGAATCACATAAATAAGCCCACTTTTCCCACTACTGCAGCAGGATTCATCCCAATTTTGAAACTTAATTCCCCAATAACACAAGTTAACAATTTTACTTTTGAGGAACTGCAGTGATAGGGATACTCGTTTCGAAAACCTTATCAGGGTAAACAAGCTTGCATGTGCTCAGATGAAAAATGTGTATAAAAATGAAAACTGAGAAATCAGAGGCTGAAACCTGAATGCAACTAGATCTGTTACTAACCTTGAACAATTGACCATTCTCCATTTTTGCAAGTAACTGGGAATGAATAAATAAGACCAGCTAGGACATTGTATGATCCATCAGAGTATACACCCATAGAAACCCATGATCCCTGCAATGTTCAGAGTGAGATAAGCATTACTTAAATTTGCAACCAAATGAATTTGATTCATCTACCACAACTGACTGGTTAGAAGATCTACCTCTGGAGTTCCAAGGACCCAATCGCGTATGTGATCACAAGCAGAACTAGCAGCAGAAAGGGCACTAGAAAGTTTCCTAGCCTTGATAATGGCAGCACCCCTCTGCTGCACAGTAGTTATGAACTCTGCATTCAACCTAAAAAAGAACAGATACTTCTTAGTTTTTACAGGAAAAAAAACAAGCCAAATGCATTTGCTCGATGATAGAAACCAGTCAGATATTCAGAATACCATGCATTCAACCTAAAAAAGAATAGATACTTCTTAGTTTTTACAGAAAAAAAAAACAAGCCAAATGCATTTGCTTGATGATAGAAACCAGTCAGAGATTCAGAATACCATGCATCATCAGCAACAAGTTCACGTACGGACTTTTCTCCACCGAGTGTTTTAACAGTTGCATGGTTGACATCAGGATATTGTGTTGACGAGTGGTTGCCCCAGATGATGACATTTTTAACATCACTTACTTGAACACTCAATCTCTCTGAGATTTGACCAAGGGCCCTGTTGTGGTCCAACCTTGTGAGACAGGTAATATTCTTCTCAGGAATAGATGGAGCAAACTCTTTCAAGATCAATGCATTTGTATTGGCAGGGTTAGCAACAACCAACACCTAAAATAAACAAAAAGCAAAATATTAGACTTCTTAAAATAAAAAGATTGCATATCATGGGCATCAAAATGCTGAAAACGGTTCATGCATGTTCAGGATGCAAATTAAAAACACTAAAAAGTAAATTACAAGTTGAACAAAAATATATATGAAACGTTGCGCAGGGTGCAATCTTTATTCGTTGCCTAAAGAGTCACCTCACCTTGCAGTTAGAAGCTGCATGCTTCTCAAGAGCAGAAGCCTGGGACTTGTAAATAGAAATGTTCTTTGACATCACATCTTTTCTTTCCATTCCCTCTTTTCGTGGGAAACCACCAACCATGATGGCAACGTTGACACCACTGCATGCTTCAACAGCATCAGTTGTTGCAACAACACCTGACATAGACGCCGAAAATGCATCATTTAAACCCATATTTGCTTTACATTCAACAACTCACATAATTGCAGTTCAAGAACTGAAACACTTCGTAATGACAATATTGAAGCATTGAAACTAAAGGAGCAAAGGTACCAACCCTTAAGAAGAGGAAAGGCAGCATCCACTAATTCCATCTTCACCCCATTCAATGCCTCTGCAGCAGGTGGAATATCCAGCATGTGGAGAATTACAGGCTGGTCGGGACCTAACATCACTCCCCTGGCAATCATGGGAACAAGGGCATAACCAATTTGTCCTGGAAAACAATGATACCCGTCGATTTAGTAATATTTAAACCACTGCATAATTTAATAAATGACATGGTGCAACTAAAAATCATCAAAAGTCCGAGATAAGAACAGTGGTACATCCTTCAAAAGACATCATCAGAAATTGCCTCACTAACACATTAGAAGCTTCCAGAATTATGAGCCCGGACAAGACTACAACACATACTGTATTATATAGTTGATCATTTTCAAAAATGCTCTATAAGGTACAAGGAAATGCAGTAGATCATTCAATGATGGTTTATTTAGGCACCATAAAAAATATTTGTTTTGACACATATTAGACCATAAAGATGTATAAAACAGCGAACGAAAGAAAAGGAACAAAAATTCCTATTAGCAATCAGGACGTAAAACAAAGCACAGCGAGCAATCATCTTCCCCTAAAACTGAATACAAAAAGGGGGTAGTGATTCGTATATAACTTCGTATGACTGTTCCCTTCACAACGAATCACCAAATCGAGAGTAAGCAAGCAAGTATGAACCAACTATACTTCAATTGAATTGCATCAATCATCTTGTATAGAAGTTTAAGCCGTTAAAAAAGAGCACTTTATATAATTAATTATGTCTTCAAGAGGCCCTCTCATTCTTTTTGTTAACCTACTTACCTATTTAACATACTCCAGACTTTATCTCATTTTCATTAAGAAGCCAGATGCACGATCGACTAACATTAAGTAGATTAATCAACAAAATAAACTGTAGTAAACAAAATCAGGATTAAAATCCAAAACGGAAGTAGATCAATGATTCAACTATGCCAAGTATAAGATCAATCTAACTAGTAGTGGAAATAAAGCGAATGTAAAAATGGAGAAGCAGATCTAAATAATTAAAAAAACTGAAAGCTTTTTTAAGTATACAAAACAGATAACAATACCTGCAGCACCGGTAACGAGAACACGAACTGGATCTTTCGCCATTGTACGAGATTTGAATTTTTCGAGAGAGTGAAGAGAGACGAGCGAGTAAACTATGATCAGCACGACAAGCAGTCAAACGTCGTCGTTTCCGGTAAAAAGGGGTAGCAGCTGAAGTACGCCGTGCGTAGAGCGTGCCTTCTTTTTTTTTTATCTTTGATTGAGCAAAACGGTGACGTACGTCCGGATTTTACTAGTATAGCTCGGTGAAAATCTCATCTTGGTTACTTTTGGATACTCCCTCTTTCGCAAAACCGGATAGTTTTTTCTGAGGCAGAGTTTCAAATAGTTTTCCTGAATTTTGATAAGGCTAAAACACAGAGCAAGAACCCATGGCTTCATGCAGCACTTCCTCTGTAATGCCGGCATTTATCTCTAACACCACCACTCGCATTTCCCCTTTCACGCGCCAATTGAGGGCATCCCCGTTCTCTTCACCAAGGAAGAAGACTTACAGCACAGTTGTAACAGCAAAACTTGCTCAGAAGAATGCTATGCAGTACAGAAAACTCGGTGACTCTGATCTTCATATCAGCGAAATTACTATTGGCACTGTAACTACTTCTTTTATCAGTTAATTACAGAAATTTTCAAGTTTTCAATTTCTTTTTCTGAACCCTATTTTAAAAGAAAAGTCATTTTAGCCTCTTTTTTGTATTTTTTTTCTTTGTTCTGCATATTTTTGAAGTAATTGAAGGTTTATTATTGATGAATGAAATATTGCAGATGACATTTGGAGAACAGAATACAGAGAAGGAGGCTCATGAAATACTTAGTTATGCATTTGACCAAGGAATTAATATTATTGATACTGCTGAAGCTGTAAGCTCCATTGCACAAACTTAATCATTGTTAGTTCTATTTTTGGCTTCATTTAATTACAGTTTCAGTTGCACAAACTTAAGTATTGTTGGCTTTTCTTTTACTCCCTTTAATTTTTTGTTTCTTTCAACTTAAGTAAATGGATGATTCGGTTGACGGATATCATTTGGAAGCATTCTGACTTAGTTGGAGCTGGCTTTTCTTTGGTGCATAGTCTACTTGATCAGATTCACTTTTAGCATATAACTTTTGCTTTTTACTTGTTTTAATTTGTAAAAACTGCTTTTATTTATGATACAGTTTCCATTCTTGGTTTTCACTATCTTGATAGATTATTTCTAGAAGCTCTAGTTCTGCATTGTTGCCGATGTAATCTGAAGTAAACTTTGTTTCTTTGGAAATTGATTCACCAATGAGATCATTTCTCTTAATTTTACGCAAAAAGATTCTTGATTAATGCAATTTTTTCTTTTCCTTCCTCTCTCATTTCTGGTTGCATATCGTTGGTTGTTATATTTATTTCTAACCTTGTTTTTTGTCTCCAAAAGTATCCAGTCCCTATGAGGAAGGAGACACAAGGGACGACGGATCTCTATATTAGCAGCTGGATGAAGTCTCAACCCCGTGATAAGGTAATAATACTATTGTGGAAGGGAACCCTTTACATCAAAGATGCATGTTATTTACATTTTCTTGTCTTGTTTTCAGTAGAGAACCTTATTACATTCTTCTTTTACCTCGTTTTCTAATCCTTATGTTGTTTCAGATCTTTTGTTCTGAACTCTAACTGCCTTTGATCTCTTTCAACAAACTCCTCCTCGAAAAGACTTCACTGTTGATTCACTTACTAAAGAATATTGGGAAAAAATGCATCTTTGGGCTGGTTCTGATTTGAGGTTGTAAATCAACGAGATCACAAAAGGCTAAGCAGCTAAAATAACTAAAGCTTGATACTGAGTCTTGCATTGCCTGATTCGTCATAGTATAATGCATTCTTTCTTTACTTTCTAGATATCCTTCCTTTTTCAAAGAAATATGTCCTCTTTGTTCTGTAATAACCTTCCCAGAGTAATCCACCATTTTAAAGAACTTTTAATTTACTTCCTTGAGTTAGCAATGTCCAACATTATGTGCATATTATGGTATTTCATGCTTTTAGTCATTCTATCAGATGCTATCATTTTCTTCTGAGTGGTAACTAAAGGTCCACTTAGTCTTTGCTCAATTATGTATAGCACGTTGCAGGGTTTTTTTTTTGTTTTTACGTTAGAAATTTTTTGAAGGCCACTAGGATAGGAAGGCTTCTGAAAGAGAAACCCTTCATCATTGTTGCCATGTGGACTGATTTGAGTTTGGCCTTTTGCTGCTTGAGTTACTAGGATAGGAAGGCTTCTGGAAGAGAAACCCTTCGTCATTGGTGCCATGTGGACTGATTTGAGTTTGGCCTTTTGCTGCTTGAGTTACTTTGAATACGTAAAGCTTGTGTAGTTCTCCTTGTTTAATATGCATGTATGCTTGTATTTGGCAAATCATTACACAAGCAGGAAAGAAAAGCAAATCACAGTCCAGCCCTATTAATTAATAGCCTAAGTCCAAGCATGAGTCTCAACTTAGAAAGGACTTGGTTGTTAAGAACTTGATGCCCACTAAAATGTTTGTAATGTTCATGCTGGATCTTTCACCTGTCAAATGTCCTCCCCATAGTCTACAAATGGCATGGTGGAGCACTTGTGTAGTCAACTTAGAATTTCCTCTACTCTCTTGGACAATAAAAACTAAAATTATTAGCATGACCATGATACTAAGTGTTACAATTCTTAGTAAAATAACTACCAAAACCGTTCTTTAAGTAGAGGAACATTTCCTGCCTTTTTTGAGCCATTATAGCTATGATATTTTGGTGTCCTTTTAACTCAAGATTACTAATGCACTGCTGTATTTCTGTTCAGGTGATTTTGGCTACAAAAGTTTGTGGTTATTCAGAAAGATCAAGTTACATACGTGAAAACACAAATGTTTTGCGAGTAGATGCTGCTAATATTCGAGAAAGTGTGGAAAAAAGCTTGAAACGTCTCAATACTGATTACATTGATTTACTCCAAATACATTGGTGAGTACTTGTTAATGATATCGTTGAAGGATTCTAGAAGTGCATTTTGGTAAGTAGTATACCCTAAATTATAAAGCTTCCCGGGTTTCTAGATGACACTATTTGCATTAGTGGGGTTGTTCCAGATTATCTGGGTGGTGAAAACACTATTACAGGAACTTTGATTGCCCATGTGAGATTTATCATCGTTCTCAGATTCTAGAAGACCAGATATTACTTATGCTTGAGCTTTAGGGATCATAGCAACGTAACCTTCTATTTTTTCTTTTTCTTTTTCTGTCCCCTTCTTCCATAATATTTTCTTTTTTCTGTTTTTAGTTTTCCCGCGTTGGGAGGGGGGAGGGGGAGGACAGTTGACAGCTAAGCTAATACTTTAACTGCACCACATGTTGGAGTAAGTGTAGGTGCAAAGCAATCCAGCGGAGCCAGAGCAATAGCGCTCTAGGGCAGTAACCAAAGATTACGAGAACGGGCTGAAGAAACTGCTATGGTTTTAGACATGCAGAAGGATCCTAAGTATTTTAAAATAATTAGTTCACAAAAACTCACTGAAACTCCCATACCGTGTTTGAAATAAGAGAAACAATGAAAAGAGATTGAGACAATGTGTGAAAGCTAATGTGTACACCTCAACTATTTTATAGGCAACTATTCATGAGTGAACACAACTATATTTACCGGGCGTGCAACTATATCACGTTCACCATTTATGCTCAATAATATTTACACTTAACTAGAGGCGGATCCAGGATTTTAAGTTTATGGGTTCCTGTCGCAATTTCAAATTAATATACGATAATAACTGGGTTCACAAATAGATATTTATAGATATTTAATAATTTTTTTAACAAAAATACAGGGTCTACGCAAAAGTTACTGGGTTCCCGGGAACCCGTATCTTACACCCTAGATCCGCCCCTGCACTTAACTATCTGACAGAAAGCTACCTGAACTCATTGCACTGCTGATCATTAGGTACTTTGTGATGTGTGCTAACGTGATGAACATAATTGACTAGTTTAAATTTCAGTATTTTCTGATGATATGAGTTGAGCTAAATGAAAGGAATGAGGATTCATATCGTCGGCCCCAACTTGTTTGGGATTGAAGCAAGTTGTTGTTGTTGTATTTCTAGACAAACCAATAAAACAGATCCTCTGTTGAGAGGTTTCACCAGCAAACCTGCCTGTTTCAAAGCGGTTGACTAATTTATGGGTCGTAATTTTTATCTATCATATGTGTTACATTACTGATAAGATGATTGATTAACTAGTTGGTTCTCTGATGCATAATAGAGGACAAGTATAGGTTCCTAGCAAAACTAAAAAGTCGGATGTTATAGAAAGCAAGCTTCAGTTCATTTAGCTGCTGATTTTAACTAGTTCATAGTGTGTACTGAAGCCACTGACATGAATAACTTGTTTGAGTTTCATCATTTTTAGAAGTCTTTCTCAACAAACTGATAAATCATCCTTAGTTGAGAGATTTTATCAGGTAACCTTGATATTGCAAGGCACTTAACAAATTCATGGGTTCTCATTTTTATCTTGTTTAAGTCTGATATAATTGTAAAAGTGTTGCTTACCTTGTGTTTTAATCTGCTTCATCTATTTGTTTGTTCGCTGCATATGCAATGCACGCATTCACTCCCGCATAGAAAATATAGGATGGTTCTCATTTCAGAATCTTGATGGAAAAAACTTCTTCAGGCCAGATAGATATGTACCATTGTTTGGTGAATTCTTTTATGAATCTTCAAAATGGAGGCCAAGTGTGCCTTTCGTCGAGCAGCTTAGAGCCTTTCAAGAACTCATCGATGAAGGAAAGGTATGTATGTCTTGCTTTTTTTTTTTTTGTTGGAAGTAACAATTGCAATACTGCAGACCTGTCAATGAAATGAGTAAAGATGCTTTATAGTTATCATTTTACTAATTAAACGCCGAGGGTATCTTTCATTCATTCCTGAAGGATTAAATAAAATCCATCTTCAAGTGAAGAAACTTCTGGACATATGCTTGCCAGGAAACTGAACTTTTTGGATGAAAAAAAAACTCATAGTGAATAAGCAAGTCAGGTCTCTTACGCATGGTTTGAGTTTAAACATTTTGCAATGCATATAGTGAACTAACAAGCCTAATCTTTTACACATGGCATGGTTGCACATCTTGCAAAATAATTTGAGCTTTCATTCTGCTTCGTAGAATCTCAAAATTAATTTGCTTTATGGAGATTTAACTTTATCTTAAAGTAACATTTAAGGGTACAAACTATTCAGGTCCGCTATATTGGTGTTTCCAATGAAACTTCATATGGAGTAATGGAGTTCATCCATGCTGCAAAAGTTGAAGGATTGCCGAAGATTGTCAGCATTCAGAATAGCTACAGTCTGCTGGTTAGGTGTCACTTTGAGGGTAAGTTAACCTTTGTCATGTCCTACTAAAGTAATTTAGATGTAACTCTTCTCAACAGAAATTTAGCTTACGCAGTTATTTTATTTGTTCCAGCATTTTTGTCAATGATGCTGTTCATACTTTGGGAGTTCTTATAAGTTAAATGATATGTTTTGCTTTGTTCAATAATAAAAGTAGTTCCTACATTCATTAGATGAGTTTAATTCCAAGATGCTTGACAAAGATGCTAGGGTACTCCAATAGTTGTCAATAATTGAGGTTGGACGATCAAATTCTTCAACCTGGCATCAAAGTTTGAGCTTTTGTTATCATTCAGCCTGTTAGGAAAATGCATCCTGAGTCCACTTCTCAACAGCTAGCTCATGGGGTGTGGATGGTCCAAATCCATATGAAGAAGCTGCAATCTATATCTTTAACCAATTTGGGACTCTAACACCCCCTCCCTCCACCACTCATGGCTGAACATCTACAGCGTGGAAATTATGACATAAGGATTCAACATTTTGGTAAACCAAGATCGGGGATGGCTCTGGCTCTGCTAGCATCTTAAGAAAAAGGGACCTTGGGCCTAAGTCAATCCCAAAAGCTAGCTTATGATGTGAGGATTTTCAAAGACCATATAATAAGACTACAACTCATATCCTCAACTAATGTGGGACTGTAACACAGCGCCCTTCCTGTGTGAAAACGAACATCTTTTCTGCACATCCGTTTTTGTTATTCAAGATGCTTCATGGGGTAAATTATTTTGTTAGGAGGCTTTACTTAAAGTTAATCTTTGGTTACATGATTGGGAAGTGTTAAATGAAAAAGAAGAACTCCTATGATGATTAATTAAAGAGTACATGGTGCTTAATCCTAGGACACTCTAGCCTTTGCTAATTGGTTTCTTATTAAGTGTTAAGATTCTTTAACAGCTCGCTTACAAATAGATATGTTGGTAATTCTTTCATTTAGTATCTACATTACCAATCCGTGCAGCAATAGCACGGATGATATCCGTGTTTCTGCGAATGGAAAACTGTTCAAGATGTCTACTCATACAAGAGTATCACTAGGGGCAGCTGTAAAGGGAATTGGGGAGAACTGGATTCTAATAGCAAGGATATCATCCGTGCTATTGCTGCACGAATCACATAGTCATTTGCCTTTACCGCATAAAGAAATAAAACGCCTTTAATGATTCATTTGGATCTTTTTGAACTGATTCTGATCTCAAACTCTAATCTCTTCAATGATATCTTATTCTCTAATCTGGCTAAAGCCACTTTTGCATATAATGCATATACCCAAATCATATCCTTGCATCAACATTAGTGAAGCTTGGGTCTCTAAGGAATGTGACTATCTACTGAATAAGTTTATTGGATCCTTAATGGCTTCTGCCAATACTCATCGCAGAGGCAATCTGCCTAACAAAAATGGCACAGCTAATCCTTAAGATACAGCGACTCTGCTTGCGATGGTAGTTTATCTACCTTGAAAAGATGTTGACTATCTCAAAATATATGAGCTTGTTCTTTGGATCGATCACATTTAACATTATAATTTATTCCATCTATTGATGAGAGCTGGTGTGTTATCAATTTAGGACCCACTTGTACTTGGATTACGTTGATAAAAAAGACCTGAAGTGAAATTACCTATACTAGCCCGAAAGTGATAAGTAACATAGTAAATTAATCTTTACTGATAAAAAGAGTGATGAGTTGCCTACTAAAAATAACCTATACTGATAAAAAAAGTGATGAAATAACCTTGAATCATTTTTCCCCTATTCCCTTTACAGCTTCCCCTTATAATATTCTTGTATGAGTAGACATCTTGAGCATTTTCCAATTCACAAACTGCCTGTACCTCATAAAGAAATAGACAAACCACATTCTAAAGATTTTTCTGAATATTGGCGAACTGATTCTCATCTTAATCTCCTCTTGCATGATATCTTATTCTCTGGTCCAACTTAAGCCACTTTTGCACATATTTAAATACCCGAATCATATACTTGCATAAACATCGGTGAGCTAGGGTCTCTAGGAATGTGATTATTTACTGGTTAAATCTATTAGATCCTTAATGGCTTCTGTCAATACTCATCCTAGAGGCAATCTACCTAACAATAGCACTATTAATCTTTAAGAAACAGGGAACTCTGCTTGCCCTTGTTTTAAATGCATTTAAAAGTTCTTGGCTATCTCAAGATATATGAGCTAATTTTATGAATGATCACTTTGACATTATACATCCCAAATGACATTGTTTTTTTTTTTTTCTTTGAGAAGGTAACATTTGTTGCATATATATATTAACTGTATCAAAACAGGTATAATTAATCATAATTACAGAGGGTGGTACAGGAAGATTCTATAGTCCTTACAAGGATCCTAAAACATCAACAAAAGATTCTGGATCTTCCATGTACTCTTGCTTACACCAAAAATAAAAAAGAGCTAAACAATGCATTTTCATTCTCTGGATAGTACTATGCCTATCTTCAAAACATCTTTGGTTTCTCTCTTTCCAAACAGTCCACCAAATGCAAGCTGGGACATTGTTTTATTTTTTATAAGAGCTCTTTTTATTATATTGGCATGTTTTCGTGTTTACAGTAAGCATCAACATGTTTAATTTGCCGATTAGCATAACGAGTTTTGGTTGTTCTTTGTAGTTGATCTTGTCGAAGTATGCCACCCAAACAACTGGAACATTGGCTTACTTTCTTATTCCCCACTGGCTGGTGGAACCTTATCGGGGAAGTATTTGCACAATAATTCTGAAGCTGCTAGAAAAGGAAGACTTAACCTGTTCCCAGGCTACATGGAAAGATACAATAAATCCCTTGCCAAGGTACGTGTTTTTCAAGTTTTTACAAGAAAGAAAATTTAATTGACTGTTTGATTAGCTTTATCGGTTGGAAAAAGAACTCAAATTTCAAGTTCACCAAGGTTGAATGGAAGGTGGAACTTGGGGTGTGGGGGGGGGGGGGGGGGGTGCCATGCTGCC